TTTTTATTATCTGCAAACTAGCTTCGAATTTTTTGATTGTTTCACTAGGTAGAGACACTATTGTATCTGATGGCATTATACAAGCCTATAATATATCGACGCTTCTGGAAACTTTGTCAAATAATAATTTATTGATATAGTAAAATGCATTAAAAATGAACCAACCTAGTATTACTATAGATCCTGATGAGGAAGTAGATCTTGTTTGCAGGTTATTATTCTATCAACCAACAGGGTATCATTCCAACCTCCGAAAACTATGGAAAGATCTTAAAGCAGAGGGATATCAGTTCCCATATAAAAAGGTATGTGAGTGGCTTACAAACCAGAATGAATGGCAAAAATATGCTCCATCACCAAAAGATACACCACGGGTTAGTTATGGTAAAATTCAGAAACCAAATTGTGTACATCAATGCGACCTCTTATTTCTTACACATGATAAATATAAGGGGAAGACATGGAAAGCAGTATTACAAATTATAGACGTGGCTAGCAAGTTCAAAGCGAGTATTCCTCTCACATCGAAGAAAAGTTTAGAGGTTGCTAAAGCATTCAGGAAAATTTATGATAATCCCAATAACCCTCTTACATACCTGACACTTTTACAGTGTGATAATGGTAAAGAATGGGCAGGACAGACAAGCCAACTATTGAAAGAACACAGTGTAGTAATTCGAGTTATCGGTCCGTATTCCCATCGTAGTACAGCAATTGTGGAGAGATTTAATAAAACTTTAGCAGAGTTGCTTTACAAGATTTAATATGCTATCGAAAGTATAACTTCGAACCATAAATTAATAAGAGAGTGGGTTAAGTATTTGCCAGAAGTTATCGATTACCTAAATAATTATCCGACACGTCTCATTCGAGCTCCAAGTTCATCAACATGGGGTTTAGCGCCTATAAAAGCAATTAAATTAGCTAAGGTCGAATCAAGGCCATCAACGAAATATAAACGTCCTGTTGGGAAAAATAAAGAGAATAGGTTAAAGAAAGGAGACTCTGTTCGTTATCTACTTGCTAATGCAGATGGGAAGGAGGTATAGAAAATCAGAGACGTGCGACAGACGTGATATGGAGTTCAACTTTATTTAAAATTGGAAAAATTGTTGTAACAAAAAATGAACCAATCTTATATTATCTTGAAGGCAATGAGTTTACACCAAAGCAGAAATTTGTGCGAGAAGAGCTTATGTATGTGGATCTTGATACTTTGCAGTACCCGCCTCAGAGTATATTAGAAGGAGACATTCGTTTCAGATCAATTAATTTCATTCGTATTATTAATAAAATGGCCAAGGCTCAACAATATACTGAGAAGCGTGGGGGGAAATGTCTTGGTAAAACTAATCATATAAATGGGTTCAATATATATCTCTAGTCTTGTGAAAAAGGACTCCATCAGTGAGAAGCACCTTATAAGACCCAGAAGCATAAATTCGAGTGGTGCCCGATTTGCCATCACACTAAAGAGTGCAGTTGTCGATATATATTTGAAGATTTGCTGGGTAAAAAATTCCCACCATGTTCGGATAAATTTTTGGAAGGCTTGCGTTTGGATGGTTATAACAAGAAATTAAAATTGGCTTTTGAATACCAAGGATCCCAACATTATTCCGAGAATCCAATGTTCCATAGACGAGGGAGGATTGATTTGGATGAGCAGAGATGGAGGGATCAAAAAAAGCAGGAAATATGCAAAGAGCGAGATATAGATCTTATTGAAATACCGTATGGTGCTGATTTATTCCCATACATAAAATGCAAATTGCAAGAGAAAGGTTATCTACAAAATATAGATATAAATAGCGTGTCAAAATCAAATTATTCGTCGGAATAAAAAAACATAATATATATTTATAACAAAAAGATGTTATATTGTGTATTTGCCGTGGATGAGGTAAAACCTTCGAAAAAATACGAGGGAGATAAAGATGCACCAGCATGGCCTTTTCGTATCGTGATGGCAGGGGCTAGCAATTCAGATAAGACCAATATAAATTTAAACTTACTAACAATGCCCAAATTTTATTACATGTTTAAGAAGAAAAAGCATTCTAAGATAGGGGAACGCAATGTTAAATTTGATGATGTATTTCTTTTCGGACATCATTTAAATGAGCCAAAATATAAAATAGTTCAAGATTTTTATAAATATCTTGCCCAAGACAAATCAAAGCCCTATTATGAAGATGTCACATTTTCTTCACTATCTCCTG